ATACTTCTTCAGAGTCACATTCTAATGGAATTACACTTAGAAGTTTCAAAGCAGCAGAATTTGCAGGCATGGAGAGTCCATGGACAGGTAACAGGAGGGAACTGCAAAGGTGGTCCGTGAGCGTACAGGGGGTCTCAAGGCCTTGCCAGAGGCCACAGCATTTTCTACATTTCTTCTTTTTGGCTCAGTACCTAAGGCGACACAGCGCCCACCTGGGCTCATGGACCCCACCTGGTCCACGTGAAGCTCCCCCTGCCTGCGGGAGGACTGGTGGGAGTGCGAATATGCGCTGTCAAGATGGCGGTCAACAAACACGAATTCCGTCTCCTTCAGGAGGCAGAGAGCGGCTGGTCAGGGAGATAGACGTGGGTTCTGCAGCCACAGCCGGGCGGGAGTTTGCACACTGGGGATACAGGAAATGCCAGGAGACAGCGAGAGGCTGAAAGAGTTGTTTGTGATGCCGCGTTCATAGATTTCAATGGATAACTAGAAAATGTCAGGAACGCACATGAGAGACAAACAGCTTTCAATAAGGAGGAAGACTTCTGCATCCAGAAACATAGTTTATTTCAAAAAAAAGGTGTGAAAGATTAAACGTTTTCTTATATGGAATAAGTCAAACAAGTATTCAACAAGTAAAACCTGTGATAAAATTAAGAATATTTGCAAAAATTCAGAATTATGTTTAAATCATAATTTAAAATTAAAATAATTTTCACTGAGGCGTGATGATTGAAAGTTATAATACATTCTAATTAACAAACCTAGGGAGAACAACGAAAATTTAGAAAATAGAACATTGGGAAAATACAGAGAAAACCAGGAAAGATGAATGTTTAGGTGGAATAAGAACCTCGTATGATTCTCCAAGAATGGAACTCAGGACAAAACAAAACTCATAAAGGCACAAGATAAAAACCTTCATAATTTCTGTAACAGAAAAGCTATAAAGTGAAGAAGTCTAGGAAATGACTTGCTTGCTACTAAAACTGGCAACCTGAGATACCGAAGGAGGACCCAGGATCCGCTGATCTCTATAAGAAATCACCCCAAACAGCTACTTAGGGGAAGAACCTTGGAAGGAATGTTGCTGTCTCCTTTAACTTTAGTATCTCTTTATGAGGCCCCTTCTCACCTTACTCACAACTCTACTCAGAGCTGATTGAATGTCCCTGTTCCTCAGAGAGTAGATAATGGGGTTAAAGACAGGGGATGTCACAGAATAGAACACAGAACACACCAAGTCTAGAAGAGTAGTTTCTTTGGAGGTTGGCTTTAAATAAGCAGCAGTACCTATCAGGAGAAAGGTGCCCAAAACCACCAGGTGGGGCACACAGGTGGAGAAGGATTTGGACCGGCTCTCCCTGGATGGCATCTTCAGCACAGTAGAGAAAATAAACACATAGGAGATCACGATGCAAACCAAACATGAAAACCCATACAGGGCACCGCAGCCCACACTGACACTGACAGCAGCATGCTGCTCAGAGCAAGTGAGCTGAAGAAGGGCAGGGACATCACAGAAAAACTGGTGAAACCTGTTGGACCCACAGAACTCCAGGGAGAACGTCCCAGCTGAGTACAAGATTCCAAAGACCACTCCACTGAGCCAGGACACAGCCATTAACCGGAAACAGAACCCTTTGCTCATGACACCCTCATAGTGCAGAGGGTGACAGATGGCGACATAGCGATCGTAGGACATGGCGGTGAGGGTTCCCACCTCTGATGTTAGCAAAAGGACCATCAAGAAGAGCTGACACACACAGCCCAAGAAAGAGATGGCATTGCTGAGGGTGATGGAGTTGAGAATGGATTTGGGCAATGTGGTGGAAATGAGGCAGAGGTCCAG